ACCGCCCATTGGATGAAGTGTTTTCGTGACCATCAGAGGTATTCTTCAAGCGCCAAGTGGAGATTCTTATGAATTCTGCACTTTACACCCATGTGCATCATCATTTCAACGCGAGAATATGCTATTCACTTTATCAGCACATTCCTCGGGGGATGAGAGGGGGGGGAGGGCAGTGATGTCAATATTCAATAGGATTGGAGGTACTAAATAGTGGACTACGCGCTAGTGGCTGAAATGGGTCAAATTCGATGATTAGATGTCGGGTGTTTCCATAATCTCCGGTGTCTAGCCACATGCTGACCTGCTTTTGAGACAGGGAGGCGTCCAATGTATCTTGGTTAACCTTTCAATCAGATTGTGAAAATATGAAAGCAAGATGTTAAGGTGGCCCTTAAGATACCGCCTGCAAATTATGTTAGGGAGTCGCATTCTCCCTGAAGTCTTCCTGGTCTTTTATGCGTAAATTTGCCACCAATTTTGTTGGAAGTGAACACCAAAATCACTTGATGTGGAAATGGCTAAATATCTAATTTCACTGCCCAATTCACACCTCTCCAACAAGTGTCCAAATTCCGGTAGAACAAATTGCGCTGCAATATATTAACTGAAGTCGAATCCCATCCCATCTCATCCCAATCACATCTACACAAGTGCTAAGGATGTTGGGTGAATCAGCTCATTGCAGATTTTCGATCTAAAAACAATGCGTACTTAGATTTTTTACTGTTATTCACTTGGTATGTGGATATCAGAAAAGATGATAAACCCCTAACTTGAACATATTTGGACAAAGTGCTTTGATATGAAAGGCGATTTCAATTGGGTTAAGGCTCTTTTACTCTCCTAATTTCTCCTGAAAGATCCAATTACAAGAAGTTGTGCTGTAACTAATGCTTTTTGTAAATCAGCTAAATAGACAACGACAATTTTTAGTAAAATGTTGCCTCATATGAAATGTGAAGGTTTTGTCATTGGTACAACTTCTGTGTACATGAAGAAGTGCGGTTTGTGTAGAAAGTATTTCCACCCACCCACCAACCCCCCCCCCCCCCCCCCTTTTTNGCGGTTTTTGTAGAAAGTATTTCCCCCCCCCCCCCAACCCCCCCCCCCCCACCTCTTATTAAAATAGTTTGATCATCAAAATGACTGATCGGAAAATTGGGGGTGGCAGTTCTAGATGTAAAGTAAAATGTGTTTTAGAAATCTCTAGTAAACACATGAACATTAGAATGAAATAGGCGATACTTACATGATAGTTTTAAAAAAAGTTGTTCAACGAGTGAGGCGATCCAGCGGATATTTCCACTGAAAATGGAGGTTGGGGAGGGAACGGAAAACCGGACTTCAAGATACGCCTTTCTACGTTGTCAGCGCAGGCAAAGGGCTCTTTTGAAAAAAGTCACTTCAAATTCTTTAGACGGAGAATAGTAAACCCCAGTGTGGAGACGATATTCGATAACGAAAACCAATTGATTGGATGCAAAAATTATATGAAATTGCACCTTCCAAACTGTCGTGGATTTCGCACTAATTAAACACCCGCAGTCAAAACTCGATTATGGCTGTTTCTTTCTGTAAATGGTGACATGTCCACTCTTTTGTCGGTTAAAATAAGAGGTTTCAATACTTTTACTCATGAAGCTGTTTTTGACAAACTCAATAGACCGTCCATGTTCTCCAATTAATCTTCCTGTTGGTGAATGGCAAGATGTGGGCTAGGACTGACATCGATTTGAGCAGAAAACCTACTTGTTTGCGAAATGCGTCTTGATTCGGGCTCCACAATTTCAGTATGGCCTCGAGAAAATTCTGCAAGATATTGTAACAACTTATTTTTTTTCTTTACAAACCCACGAAATCCCGGTTCAGCTGGTGGTAATTAGGAGAGAAATTTGGCCCACAGTCGAAGTGCACCATTTAATGTGTGTGCGATAACATTGTGGGTCCCACTGCAGCGTCGGCAGAGATGCGAAAGAGAGGAAGATAAATCTTCCACCGGTATTTTCCGAAAGTACGCGGATGCTGATCCTGCTAGCCAATCCACCTCCACACCATGATGAGACCACCAACACATATGTTAAACATTCAGGTACATGCATTTAAACAACTCTGAAACTGCTCTGAACATGGTTAAGATAACTATTTCATTGGCATTTAAATTCGTAATGACCGATATTATCGTCAGTCGTTTTATCTCAGTTCGTAGTTCCAGAATGTTCTGGCAACTCCCCAATCCATTTAGGATATCATATTTTCACTCCTAAAAAGGCTAATATCATGAGCCCTCACGAATGGGTGAACTCAAATTCTCCACTCGAGTTAATTAACCAGACCTAATAGGAATCTACTTAGCGCTCTATGGGTGTGTGTGGGCTGATTTCCAATGATTTAGCAGACGAGTACTTTAGACTATTGTATCACCAGCGGAATTGAATTAGGGTTTCAAATCTCTGTTTAACAATACTGCACGAAAATAGATAAATAACTCGCCGCACTGCCCAATAGATTTCAATGAAAGTAAAATAATAGTTATAATAATAATAAAATAATATCCAAACGACATCTTTGAAACGAGATAATTTGAATCTAATTAGAACTGAGAGCGCAGGAACGAAACTCTCTCGAAGGCAAAAATTATGATCATGATTTCGAACTAGGAAGATGAACATAATTAGGTATTTTTTAAATACTAATAAAATGGCATAAGAGTAATAAGAATTGAGGTCTAGAAAGACAAATTCCGTTCACATAATTATAAATAAATAAATAAAACATTTCTTTTTTGTTTTTTATACTAGTGCTGAATCGGGGAAAAGTCTTTTGTTTCCACTTTGTGCTTTCCACGGGATTATTTTTTTAACTATTTACAAATCGGAATCCGCGCATACATATTAACTCATTTAAACAAGCAATCTATAAATTGCACAAATACAGTTAAGAGAGAAATTTTTGATATCGTGAGAGAAATTTTATGAGTTTCAATGTTGTCGGTAGCTCTATTTCACCCTGTCATTGATCGTGTTTCATTGAGCAAAAATAGGAATTGAATCTACTTTGCTGTTGAAGGCATCTGCTATTCAAGCACTTCAAAATCGGAATTCGAATCTGGGTGCTCAAGTTTCTTACTTAATTGAGTTTCTAAATTCATTACAAATAAAAGTGAAATCATGTTATCCAGATTTTCCATTTAATAAATAAAATGACTTAAAGATGAAAGTTGAGGAAGAAGATGATTTGCTGATTTTTGCGATCAATAGAATTTTTGTGCCAATAAAAAATAATCTCCTCTTTTGGATATTCGTGTTTGGATATTTCTTCTAAATTTAAATATTGTCTGTTATTTTGTTTAAAATGGAAAATATACAAACTTTTCAAACTAAACACCAGATTATTCGTTCATTCAGTAGTTAGGGTGATAAAAATTGAAAAAACGATTTACAGAGGCCTTTTAGCGAAAACCACCACCATGATGGAATGACAGGGTTTAAATGCGCAAAAAATATCCCTACTGTGTGTGTGTGTGTGGTGGGCGAGGGGGGGGGGGGGGGGAATGTGTGGGGGGGGGGGGGGTTT